AAGCCGGTGTAAACGCAAATGTAAATGTATGCGTCTAAGTTGAGAGTATTGGGGACCCACAGACGAAGCCAGTAGTCTGCAGCAACATTGTTAAGTGTACACAATCATGCCATTTTTGTCACTCGATCAATCATTACCAGAGCCAATGCGGACACCATGGACGACGGCAAAGAAAATGCACACCAAAAGTGTTGCACCAACTCCGTGCCCAGCCGCAGCGTATGCAAGGAAGTCGCTTCCTGCCTTTGCATTGTCCGCACTCGTGTCGTCAACAACAAGTTTTCCATTTGCCTCGTTCTGCTCGTCCTCATCTTCCGAAACTCGTACTTCTACCGCACCGTTCAGACCAGGTTTATTTGCACCAGAAGAACCCGCTCCAACAGCAAGAAGACCTGCTGAAATTGGTCCAGCACTACCTTCCGCAACACTTCCACGAAGCTCCCTCAAAGAGTATACCGAAAGCTCATTTCGAGAAATGATGCCGGCAACATCGTTGTCCGTAGCACCTGGGATGCTCGTGCTCTGGTTTCGCTCCGCAAGCTCAAGCTTCTTTTGGAGTGACATCTCTTTCCAACTGCGTACAGTGTTGTGGCTGGCCTGCGAACCTTCTAGCTCCCTGATCGAACGAACAGATAAAGCATTGATGTCACGGCGGCTTCGAATGGTCACTTGATCCGCCCCAACCGTAGACAACCTATTGATATCTCGCCGGCTTTGAACAGCAGCCTGCTCCATCAGAATCACAGGAGAATTTGCGAGATCGTCTGCAGGATCGTTGCGAGTCTCATCGCCCGAAGGGATCTCGAAATCAGTTTCGTCCATGATAACTGGGTCATCATCTGCGTCGCCCTGCTCGCCGGTAACGACGTGCGCAGTGATCAGGTCCGCAAACTCTGCAGCCTTCATCAGCTCGTCGTAAGGACCTTGCATGTGGATCTTGCCGTCACGAATAACAACAATGTGATCAAGTTGAGGGAGGTACTGAAAAATTGGGTAAGGATATGGCCAGAGCGATTAGGTAATACACATTACCTGTAGCTGGTGCAAAGCAATGATTACCGTCCTATCCTTCAGGAATTTCATGAAGCACTCTTCGAAAATATGACGACCGACATGTTGATCAACCGCACTGATGGGATCATCAAGCAAAACAATGTCTGCATCATGGTAAACGGCCCTGGCGAGAGAAGTACGTTGCCGTTGACCACCGGACAAGTTTGCACCGCGCTCGGCAATTTCGGTCTGATCGCCAGCAAGCAGCAACGTCAAGTCCCTCTGCAACGAGCATACTCTGATAACCTCTTTGTAGCGCTGCCGATGCATGTCCATACCAAACAGAATGTTGCTTCGGAGCGTCTCGTTGAGCAACCACGCCTGTTGCGGAACGTAGGAGGTACTACCGTATATCTTCATCTCTCCCTTCGTTTGCCGCACTTGGCCGAGAAGAGCAGCTATAAGCGAGGACTTGCCCGACCCAACGTCACCAATGATTCCAATTTTGCTTCCCCGTTTAGCTTTGAGCGAAATTGCTTCCAACGTCGGTCCTTCTTGGTCAGAGCCATCCCATCTGAAGTCAGCGCCATTCTAACAACACGGATACGAATGAGTTGAGGAACTATCGACCATATATCCAGCAATTAACTCACGATTTCAAACGCAAGGTCGGATCCATCGGGGGCAGTAGAAATTTCAATCTGCGCAACTTCTTCATTTGCCATGAACCCTTCCATTCGCTTGAACGCAGTCATGGCACCAGCAGTCGCGCGAACTGCGAGTGGAAGCATAAAGAACGGATAGCGAAGTGTGTTGAAGACGGAGACTACTGTGAAGGATACTGATGCAGTGAGAGTTTTTCCTTGAGCGAATACGTAGATTGACAACGATGCCGTGGCCGTGAAAATGGGGATTGCAAAGACTACCATGAACTATCAAGCGAAAAATTCAACATGATGACGATGGTGACCCCCTGTCTACATACGTTGAACGACTTGATCAACATTACTCGTCGAATATGGTACATTTCCTTTTCCCTGATGGCAGATATTTTCTGTTGGAAAGGTGTCTCCCACGCATAGAATTTGACCAGCTTTATAGCAGTGAGAATCTATCAAAGGTAAGGCATTCAATGGCCACTCCAACGACAGCAACCAGGCGTTTACCTCGCTCATTAAATGAACTCTGAGGGTTGTCGCAACAGTCTGTTCGCGGTTTTCAACAAATGTCATCTGACCAAACCACATTTGCAGAGGCAGCAAGATGAGTATGAATCCTAGAACAGGGAATGCGGCAAGCTGGATCTCGTAAAACGCGATCGCGATGATGGCAGCGCATTCGACAAAAGCTGACCAGAAGAAGTGAAAATTGACAACGGCATCGGCAATTCTGGTAACGTCAGTCGAAATGATCTTAGTAGTAAGAATCGTCAGTAGGAAGGTATTCCAGACGGACAGAAACCAACAAACATTGATAATGTCGCCGGCTCCACCGCGAATGCGGGAAATGCGAAGAGATTTTCGGAAAATTAGGACCATGAGGGCCGCACGAATCTTATTGCTTTATAAGTCCTCTAGTCTGCCATATTGATCGAATCTGCTTACCTGAGTGGCGATTCTGTTGCACTCTCCGTAGAGTTGTTGAATTGCGATGGAACTAAGAATTGCCGAGAAGAAAATTCCAATGGCCCATCCATGCCCAACAATATCGGCATCACGAAGAGGGGTCAAGGAGTTCTGAAGAAACACCAAGATAACCTTCAGGAAGTAATATGCTGCGAGCCAGGTGCCAATTGCCCAAACAAGCTTGTAAATACCAATGAGTGTGTAGACCACACCAAAGCATTTCCACATTGCCCGCAAGATGGACGGGTTTCTGAAATAAGAGAATGAGCAAGCGTCAATACTTAATTCTTCCTCTGCGTGTCTCCATCAATCTTCGAACATCGTCCAACCGCTCAATCGCGGGAAGGTCCCATCCAATTTCGCTTTTATCCACTCCGTTCTTCATAAAAATTCATCTAGTGCGGTCGACTTACTTTGGGTTGCGTTTCACCTCATCCTCCCAAGCGGCAGACAATCGATCGCCATTGAATCTGGCCGTTTCCGAGTGGCCCAATCTGAACGAAAGGGCATAGAGCGGTGCACGAATCGAAGCGGTTGCGATTGGGAATACCCAAAGGAAGAACCAGTTTGACAGAGAGTTGCTGGACCAAAGGGCAAACGGTTTCCGGTGAGGAACATCGGTGGTCGGTGAGTCCTCAGTAGGTAGTTTTGTATGATTCTTTGCTGTGCCGCTCATCTTTTCTGATGTTCCCATGAGACTCGGATGAGAGCAGCAACAGCAGCAGATCAGGCTTTCGATAGAGCCACAAATCCGCCAATATGAAACAAGGGCCGGTGTGATTGGAAAGGTTTCGAATGAGTGTGAAGCACAGCGATGACTTCTCTCCTCAGGCGGTGCGGAATCACTGTGATGAAACAACCCGCGAAACTGTGGAACTGGAAAACGCCCAGCGAATATATTTACAATATTTAGGTCGTGGCTGGACGTGGCGCGGGCTGGGTCGAGCATGGACGCAGAACACCTGTCCAGTATGCTGTTCGCTTTGTTGAGACTTTGTGGTACAGAGAGCGCTACTAATTTTTTTTCTGCATAGATCATCAGAAGTAATATCAATGCCACGAGCACTCCATCCATCAAACAATGAACCCTTAAATTCGGTTCTCACTTCTAATTGACTTGACGGTGGATGAGGAGCACACACCTTCAAAATGTCTCCCACTTCACACCACATTACGCACTTTTGTACTTTTTAAATATTGGCACACTTCAATGAGTTGTTACGGATAAATGGATGGAAGATAGTGCCACTTTCAGAAGCAGACTTCGCTGGGAACAATGTTGAAAGAAAGTCTGTTATTACCATATCAGAAAAGATATCGACCCAACACCTACTAAAAACGAGCATTTCATTGCCAAAAAGGCGGAGAAAAAACAGCACGCCGTAAGTTATGAGACCAGCAACGTACCTTCTGAATGTTGTGACTTCGCCGTAGCAGTGTACAACTGAGGTACTGAGACTGATGCAGAAATATTTTCCACACTGACAAAGTTCCTTCAGTGTCCCGGCTCAACCGAAGGGTGTATTGCCCAGTAGACGCAGTCGCGGACAGAGTAAGTGATATTACGAAAGCTTTCTCTTGTTTCGTTGCTAAAGGGTTCCCTCACTGAAGTTCTGTGTGGGGTGCAACAGATCAAACCGGGAAATGGTATTCTTCTCATCCGTGATGCAAATGATGATTTCTAATGCTCAGCTTTCAATTCTAGGGCACTCTTCACAATTCTCGGCCTTGCAAAGATGGGCATCGCCTGGCGTTCCTCGCACATGCGGATGCACCTTCGCGCCACGACCAGGGATATGATCAAGATTTTGTTAACACCTGTTTCGCGCTCATTCTATGTTGATTCCAACCAGTTCAGGCAGTGCCTATGTGTGACCTGTTTTGGGAACAATAATTGACGTATGCATTATTCTTAAATTGTGAATATTTTACTAAATGAACATGAAAGTACTCATCCTTGATTCGATTATGATGGAAAAGGTGAGAAAATCATTTCGTAAAACAGTTGGCATTTCCTTTCACTCTCATCAATTTGCACCAACAAAATTGAGCCGACTCGAAAGCTTCAACGATTGAAGGGCTCGCGGAACAAATCAAGACACCACCATCTGAGTTGAGAAGGACGATTGATACATGTAACGATACGATTGCATCAATGGGCAGAGGACCAGTTCCACAAAACATCGAGGTTTTTGCATCGATGGGGAGGGGACCAGTTCCAAAAAACATCCAGGTTTTTGCAAACGGCCTGCAACACCTACCTTCTATGGTCGATCGAACCTTCAGGAATGTCAATAACGCAGCCTTCGCTACTGATGGCCAATGAGTGAGTAAAAGAACTGGGCAGGTTCTACTGCCAACAAGAGAGCCAGAAGAATAGTATGGTTCAACCCGGGTTCGAACCGGAGACCTTTTGTGTGTAAGACAAATGTGATAACCACTACACTATTGAACCACGACCTTTTTCGCCAAAGAGGATAGCTAAGCCTGCTGCTGAGCAATGCAAGGGAACTGGTTGGAGAACTAGTTCGATGTACCTTCGGAATTCTACCAATACCCTTGATAGCCGACGATATGCTTATTGGGCCGCCCGTTGATGTTGGAGCCGGCGGTGCTGCAGCATCTGAATGACCCGCCTGTCGTTTCAGAGCAGCAAGCTCTCCCGATAACCACTACACTATTGAACCACGAACCTCATTACAAAAACAAAAAAAAATAAAAAAAAATAATAATACCTTGGAACTCTCACTCTCTCTCTCACTGTCTCTCTCACTCTCTCTCTCACTGTCTCTCTCACTCTCTCTCTCACTCTCTCTCTCACTCTCTCTCTCACTCTCTCTCTCTCTCACAAATCAATGCCGCCTCCCAGCGCTCTGCCTGCGCAGCCGCCTGACGCGCCGCATGCCGCGCCGCCCGCCGCACCCCCCTCAAAAATTTTCATCGCTTCTGGCCGTGCTCACTCCCGTGCTCCCTCTGTGTTCCACCCTCGCGCCCCTCAGGAAATTATTCCTGACTCTCAGCCCAGCAACTTTGATGGAGAAAGATTTCTGTGGGCAGACGAAGTGAATTCTCCTCGCGAATCACGTGACCGCCGATCACGTGACCAAGCATCATCCACTTCAGAACCGCCTCAAATTAGAGGAAGATCCCCCGCAAGTGTCGTTGATGTTCACATGAATGATACAGTCGAAATGTCACTTACCATTGCTGATGCTGATCCCAAAGGGAAACGTCGAGCATCAAAATCACCCCCGACTCGCCGACCTGCCTCTCGTGCCAGGGTCGAGAAGAATGCCTCTGCAGCTGATCATGCTACCTCTCCCTTGCCTACTCCTCGTGACCGATTCTTGGATGCTCTGCATATGCTGGCCCCTGATCAAACTTCTGGATCTCATCCATTAGTGATGTCTGCTTTCACTCGTGCAATGCAATTTCTCCCAGTATTGGAACCAGAGACTGAGGCTGCCTTCTTTGCTGCATTGACTATTGCTGTAGTTCCGTTGGTTGAAACTATCAGCTGCCCTCCTGCTGCTGTCTCTGCCGTGCTTCCTATGCTCAAGTTGCGAGTGCTAGCCGACCGCCACCTGCCCCTGCTACTCGCAATCCTGGGCCTTTCAGCACTGCAAAATTTGCCTCTCATGCATCAAATGCTATTGTTCGTATTGAAGCTGCCGAAGCAGATGCTCAACCCGCCCTTTATCGCTCAGTGGTTGCTGGAGTGGACCCCCTATCTCGCAGATCACTACGGCCACCCAGATTGGTGATTGATTACCCGGCTGAGTCACCAATTTTGATCAATCCTCCTCAGCCTGTTCGTGATTGTGCTGCTGGTTTTGCTACTGTGAGGTTTAAGGAAATTAGTCGCCAGCCACTTAATCAGCTCCGCACTCTGATTAATCGAATTTCTGGAAACCCTCAATTTTCGCGTGACATTCGCCATATTAGTTTTATTGGGCGTAACACTGCTGAGTTTATTTGTACTTCTGACTGTGCTGACAAGCGCCGCAAGGACATTTTTCCAGGTGATGAGGTGCCCGTTGATCTTTTTGACCCTGGGCAGCTTCGTTCTGGGTCTGTTCAATCACTTGAGCAACGTCAAGTTGCTGTAGCAAAGGCTGTTCACAAAAGATTTGCTCACCTCTTGAGAATTACTCATGATCCTGCAGTTTTTCATTATCTTCGTTCTAATCTTCCTGCTGCAGACTTTGAAGCTACTGTTTCTTTAGCCCGTTCTTCGCATTCTGAACCTACATCTCGCAATTAATGTGGACTTTTCGTTCTGGAACCTTCAACTGTAGAGGTTTGCCTCTGGATTTTTCAGATTTACTTGCTTGGCTTGTTACGCATCAGCTTGATTTTTTAGTTTTAACAGAAACTCATCAGTTAACTTTAGACAGTGTTTTCTCAGAGTATTTGTTGTTTGATTCTCGTCCTCCACCAGACGCTCCTTTGGCATCTGGTGTTGCTCTTCTTATTAACCCACATCGTTGCAGTACTTATCAATTTAGGTTGATTGCATCAGTTCCTTCTGGGTTTGGTTTGTGGTTTAGGTTTCGTCAGGTCGTGATTGGTGGATTTTATTTTCCCCCACGTTGGACTGCGGAAGACTGTTTGGGTGCATTATCTGATTTTCCTCAATTTGTTTCGAATTCGGATACACCAGTAGTTTTGATGGGTGACTTCAATTTTAGAACTCAGAGCACTGGGGATCATGTTACTTATGCCCGGGCCAGAGCACTTCTTCCTTTTTTTACAGCCCACTCACTTTCATTGGTTGTCCCAGCTTCTTCTTCAGCTCGTCGCCCAACTTTTCGTTCCCACTTAGGGAGTTCAATTATTGATTTGTTTTTTGCTTCTACTTATGTGACAGCTTCCATTTATTTAGTGCATGATCAACCCCAGTCTATGGCTCCCCATCCTTCAGACCATTTTGCAGTGACCTGTTCATTTTCTTTAGCTGGCCCAGATCCTCAGGCCACTGTGCCTCCTCCTCTACCTTCTTGGAATCTCCGATTGTTAAAGGATGAAGTTATTCGTAAGTCGCACAGAGAAACTGCTAAGATTCTGCTTCCTCCAACATCAGAGGCGCTAACAGCAGCATTGGAACCACTTCAGGTCCCTGTGGGGACTTCTCTTTCTCGTGCAGTGGCCCAGGGAGCAATTGATTCCGCATTTCAAATTATAGTTGATTTTGTTGAGGCAACAGCAGTTCTGACATTGGGACCACCAACACCTCGTCGTAGAGCACCAGCGACCACTCCTCTGCCCCCTGAGATTGCTTTGTTGCGTAGTAAGGCTCGTTCAGCATTCCGTGACTATTATTCCCTCTTTCACCACAATTCTTCTGACCCTCTTCTTCCTTTTCTAAGAACTCGCCAACGTGATAGTCACAAAGCATTCAAATCAGCTCTGAGATCACACAGGCGTAAGACAAAAGCAAATTTTTTTGATGACCCTAGTTCTTCATCAGTGCCTTCTCTTCTGAAACATGTGTCTCATGCTCGGCGCTGCGCTAACTTTCGTACTTCAGCTAATGGTTTAGATTTTGATCCTCAGTCTTTAGCCAAATATTCTGATCATTTTGCTAGTGTCTACAATGCTCAAGCTGCTGACCCAGTTTCACCTTCAATTGTTCTGTGTGATTTTCAGCTGCCATTGGATGTTGAAGCTTTTGTTCTAGCTATTAGGGACTGCCCTTTGGAGTCTGCCCCGGGTCATGATCGTCTGCCTGCAGAACTTTACCGCCAATTTCAGCTATTCTTGCTCCATTGTTCTTGCAACTTTCTCAGTCCATTTTTCGCAGTAGTCTTACACCCACTTCATGGAATCTTGGGCTTTTGCACCCAGTTTGGAAGCAACGTGGTACACTTGGTGATATTACTAATTATCGCCCCATTACTCTTTCGTGTGTTGCCCAAAAAATTTTTGAGCGAGCTTTGTTGCCACATCTTTATTCTGCTATCACGTCTCAACGCCCACTTGATGCTGCCCAAGCGGGATTTCAGTCACACCGCTCGGGAATGGAATGTGTTTTTGGTCTTCAGGCATGTATCTACCGTGCGTCTAATGCCAAGGTTCCTTGGGTTGCTGGTTTTTTAGATATTCAAGCAGCTTATGACACCACAAATCGTGCAATTCTTTGGGCTGACCTTCTTTCTAGGGGAGTACCGTTGCCATTTGTTTTTGTTTTGAAGTCTCTGTTTGATTTTTGTTCTTCCAGAGTGGTTGTTGCAAATTGTTTTTCAGATGCTTTTGATTTGTTTAGAGGTTTGTTTCAAGGTTCTGTTCTCAGTCCACTTCTATATATCACTTTTCTTGATCCTCTACCTGGGCTCCTCCGACCATTTGCCCCACCTATAACACTCTTTCATCCTGCCAAACCACGATATAATTCTTTTTTATTTGCAGATGATTTGGCCTTGTTTGCAATTACTTTGGATGCTATGCAGGTTCTTCTCTCTGTTTGTGACCAGTTTGCCCAAGCTCGTGGTTTTTCTTTTGCTCCTTTGAAGTCTGTGATTCTCACAAAAATTCCTATTCCTGCTCATTCGCCTTTGCTTCTTCATGGTCAAAGTCTGCCTGTCAAGCCTTCATTTCGTTATCTGGGTTGCTTGTTTGGGGATACTGGAGACTATTTCCCATCGACTTGCCAAAGCGCGCGCAGCTTCTTTTGCTTTGCTTTCTTTTTCAAGGATGTTTAGTTCTCATTCTGTGGTTGTGGTTCGTCATTTGTTTTTGTCTTTTATTCGACCTACGCTTGAATTTGGTTTATATTTTATTCTTCCCTCTGTTGCTGTTTGCAAACCAGTTCGGACTTTCATTCACCAAGTTTGTGTCGATTTCTTCGCCTTTCATTTTCCACTTCAATTGCTGGGGTTTTACTGTTTTTTAAGTTTCCTGACCTTCAGTTTCGGCTTCAATATCTGCAGTTTCAGATGTTTCAACTTTGGCTGGATGATGATGCCCCTGATATGTTCACTCTATGTTGTCATTCTTTCTTCACCAGGGAAAGCACTTTCGTTGTTCTCCTGTCCCTTTCAACAATCACTTCCTCTTCCCGGCTGCAAATGTTGTAGTTCCCAAACCTTCTGACGTTATCGCAAATCACTTTCACCAAGTAGCCTCATCTGCCTATGGTTCTATAGCTGCTAGCTTTGCTCCCCTTGCATCTGCACACCCTCATGCGCTAGCAATTGCTCCTCCATGCTTCCCTATTTCGTCAATCTTGAGGCTTCTGCAGTATCGCCTTGGACGTTTGTTTTATCACCCCCGCAAGCAGTGTTGTCACTGCCTCACTGCAACTCTCTCTAGATCTCATGTTTCAGAATGTTTGCGTCTTGACCTATTGTTGCCTCCTGTTCCTGTTCCTGTTTTACAACTTCCGCTTGACGTTGCAATTGATAGCCTTCGTCCACTTCGCATTGTCAACCCAGTGAATCTTGCACCGTGGTATCT